GTCCTGCTTGAGCCTCCCGCGTCCTCTCTTCCGCATGTTTCTGACCCTGAGTCTAACCTTGGTCGTGCTGCCAGTCCTACTGTCACTCGTCTTCTCGCTACTGTCGTCACTGGCCCTGACCTTGAGTCTACTGTAGCATTGTGTCTCGAGCTAATCGTTTTTGCAGCTAGGAGTCGTCTCGACTACGTCGCGAGTCTTGTCACTGAGTCTGAGTCTGTCTATCCTCCGTCCGTCGAGGGTGAGCTTGCCCTTGGCAGTGACATACTTGAGGACAGACAGTTTGAGCTTGAGTGTCTTGCGGTCACTTTACCTCGTTTCGCATCCATGCTGCTTTGCTCTGAGGGAGACCCGGATGCACTTGACATCCCTACCCCGCGCTCTTACGCTGAGGCGATCGCGGGTGAGTACTCCTCTCAGTGGCAGACAGCCATGGACGCAGAGATGGCTTCCTGGAAGTCCACAGGCACCTACGTCGACGAGGTTCCTCCTCCTTGGGCGAACATAGTCGATGGCATGTGGATTTTTAGAGTGAAGCGGCCGCCAGGTTCTCTGCCTGCCTTCAAGGCGCGTTACGTTGCTTGAGGCTTCAATCAGTGACAGGGGGTCGACTTCTTCGAGACCTTCTCCCCCACCCCGAAGATGACTACTCTCCAGCTCCAGCGCCTCCAGCTCCAGGGTCTCTAGCTCCAGCGCCTCCAACACCACCTGCTCCAGTACCCCTAGTACGAGCACCTCCAGGATCAGCAGCTCCAGCACCCCTGGGACCAACACCTCCAGCAGGAACTCCAGCACCTCCAGGACTAGAAGCTCCAGGGTCTCCAGCTCCAGTGTTTCCAACACCACCAGCTCCGGCAGCTCCAGTTCCTCTAGTACGAGCACCTCCATTACCAGCAGCTCCAGTACCTCCGCTACCTCTAGCTCCTGCAGTAACCCAAGCACCTCCAAGACTAGTAGCTCCAGCACCTCTTGCTCCCGTGCCTCCAGCTCCTGCAGCGCCACTCATAAGGCGGGTGCGCTGAGTAAACAACTCGCGCAGCTGCTGTGGTGAGAGAGGCTCCCGCCAGGGAGACAATCGTGGCGAGGCACCCGCAGGACCTCCTACAGACGCAGGACCACGAGGCTCAGCACCCCCAGACTCCGCACCCTCAGACTCAGCACCCCCAAGCTCCGCACCCTCAGACTCAGCACCCCCAGGCTCAGCACCCCCAGGCTCAGCACCCCCAGACTCTGCACCCTCAGGCTCAGCAACCCCAGGCTCTACACTCGTAGGCTCAACACCCCCAGACGTAGCACCCCCAGACGCAGCACCCCCCCAACGCAGCACCCCCAGACGCAGCACCTCTAGCAGCACCTGAGTCTACAGCGACCTCGACAGGCACAATCCCGGGGAGTAGGTCTACCTGAGAAAAACCTGAGGGAGCAGGACCTTGAGGGGGGAAGAGCGACGGGGGGGGGGAGAGGGGCAGTGCGGTAGGGGAAGAGACGGTAAAAGGGAACCGACTCGTCAAAAGTGATGTCCTGAGAAAGAAGGACACGGCGCAAGGTGGGGTGGTAAAACTGCCAGCCAGGCGCGTCAGGGGGAAAGCCAAGGAAGACACAGGGAATAGCGCGGGAGGAGAGCTTGTCTGGGAAGTATCGCGAACAAAGGCACGAAAGCCCCAGACCCGGAACACTGACGCATCGCCAACCTTCCCTGTCCAACGTAGTGTAGGCGAGGTCTTTGGCAAGGAGACACGGGGCCAGAGGTTGAGCCGATGCGCAGCGTACCGGACCGCAAACGGCCACAGAAAATTGGGAGCAGCCGCATGGATCATGGAGGTAGGAGCGACCTCCATGACTAAGCCAATGCGGCGCTCAGCAACCCAGTTTTGCTGCGGGGAGGCCGGAAGCGTGAACGACTGAAGGATGCCCTCCCCACGACAAAAGTCCTGCAAGAGGTCGGAGGAGAACTCACCACCTCTATTAGAGTGCAGACGCAGGACAGGAAGGTCCTGACGGAACCGCTCGCGGAGCAGGAGATGGACTGCGCGGATCCAAGGGATCAAGACATCAACGACCTGACCCTTGCTGCACAAGGGGAAGACCGTTGTGTAACGCGTATAGTCGTCAACAACCAGCAGAAAGTAGCGCTCGCGGCCCTGTCCACTGACGCGGGCTGGGCCCCACACGTCCATGTGGAGAGTTTGCAGGGGAGCAGTCGTCGGGGGAAACGAGGAGGAGTGAGGAGCGGCGCGCTGTCGCCCCTCGATGGAAGGAAGGCAGGGCGGGGCAGGCGAGGGCGGGAGGGGAGGCGGAGACCTGGGAAGACCAGAAACAAGGAGGCGGGAGTGCATGCCACGAAGCGTGGCAGGGAGGGGTGACCAAGTCGGTGGTGCCACTGGAGAGTCTGGTGCGATGGGAGGCGACACGAGCAGGGGGCTGCTACCGCACCTGACTCCGACACCTGGGCATATGCAGCTACCTGAGGATGCTCGGTAGTCAGTGTGTACAGACTCGACCCAGGCCGACGGATGAACGTGGCCAGGTGACGGCCCGTCCGTGCACACGTGCAGATCGACACACGCTGACCCCCAGGAGTGGTGGTAGTGACCATCACATCCTGGAGGGCAGCGGTACTCACCAAGTTCGTAGAGAACGAGGGGAGGTGAAGACCTGAGAGTGAACAGTGGAGGAACGGGCAAGAACTGGGCCCCCTGAGGGGTCAGCCAGTATGACAGAGAGAGGAGTGAGGGTTGTACTGTCGCGAAAGAAACAGTGGGTAGCACCTTTGTCAAGTGTGAAGGTGTGCAAGGCCTCAGCAGGCGCAGTACCAGGGAGAGCAGACTCACTAGCACCTAGAGCAGCAGCCTCTATACCTGGCTCGGGAGGCACATTTAGGTAATAGTCACCCTCAGCACTAACAGACAAGGCATACATGGCAGCAAGGATAGCATCATAGTCAAGAGCAAAGATATCAACTCCAGACCTAAGCAGCTCTGCCCAGGAGCGCTAAGCCTCGTCACCAAACTCTGCGCGCCAAGCGTCGTCAAGGAGGGAGAAGCACCGGTGCTGAGAGTGAAACTTCCCGCATGTTTGACCAGCACGGTCACCCGTGCAAATGAAATACGGGCAGCGAACACTACCCCCAGACGCCCCACGCTGAGCAAACCACTCACGAAGCTGCTAGGGCGAAGGGGTCTCGCTCCAACGCTGCTGCTGCTGCCTCTGGCCACCGCCAGAACCTCCCCTATGAACAGCTCCACCCCGACTGCCACCACTCCCACTGCCGCCACTACCGCCACCCCCACCGCTGCCACCACCGCCGCCACCGAAGCCCTCACTCCCGCCACCACTCCCACCGCTGCCACCAGCTCTGCCACCTCCACCGCCTCCACTGCCGCCACCACCACCACCCCCGCTGCCACCGCCACCACTCTTGCCACCCTTGCCCTTGCTGCTGCGGCGCTTCCCACTAACAGCAGAAGCAGCCCCGACATCCTCAGCACCAAGGATGTCAACAGCAGCAGAAGAAGCGTAGGAGTGGGCAAGGGGGGAGGGGGGACACCCCTCAAAGAAGGGTGTGCGAGGAGTGCCACGAGCAGCACTACAGCGACTAGGCTAGTCTCAGCTGCAATGAGTTGCTGCTCGAGCAGGTCGACAGTGAGGTCAGTGGGGTCAAGTTTGAGCAAGTGGTCCCCGACAACGCGAAGAGAGTCAGGGAGGCGGGTGACTATGAAGTAGAGAGTGATGTACATCGGGGTGGGTTCTTGTCAAGGAAATCTGCTGGGAGGGCAGTGTGGTAGCGAGCGTCGCTAGTGCGGAGGTGGGTAACGATGTCCTCGACTGTGGCAAAGGCTGACAACTCGGGAATCAGGTAGGGCACTATAAGGCGGCCTAGAGTAGCAGTGGTAGGGGAAGAGTTACGAGCGACTACTGCGTCGTACAGGGCTTTAGCAGTTCTGTGCTGGCCAAAGTGAGCGCGGTTGGCAAACGACAGGTGGTTGCGAACGGCTAAGCGAGCAGCAGCATCACGGGTAACCCACTGTGAGCGAGTCTCACTGTCAGCTGTGGCAGGAGGGGCGAGAGAGGCTTCAGACGTGTGGTCAATCAACGAAACGCTGTCTCTAGAATCGCTTAGTAGGTACAGCTGTAAGTCGTCGAGCCACGTATCAAACTGGATCGGACGGCCCTCATGATCAAAGGTGAGTACACTGAGAGAAGCCATAGCGGGCAGAGCAGGGTGGCGCGTGACCAGCAGGGCAGCACGCAGGCAGGGCGGCACGCGAGCACTAGGGAAGCGCGCAAAACAGGGCGGGGCGGCGCACGGCTAGGGCAGGGCGGTGCGGTGGCCAAGAGGGCGGCGCGCGGGCAGCAGGGCGTCGGACAGCAGGGCGGCGCACTGCAGGGCGGGCAGCAGCAGGGCGGCGCGGGCAGGAGGGCGCCGGCCAGCAGGGCTGCACGCAGCAGGGCGGGCAGCAGCCGCCCGGCGCGTAGCTGGGCGCCGGCCAGCAGGGCTGCGCGCAGCACAGCGGGCAGCAGCAGGGCGGCGCACGTGTGCAAAGGGCGGCACGCGGGCTGCAAGGGGCGGCGAGCGGGCTGCAATTGGCGGCGAGCGGGCTGCAAACGGGCGGCGCGCGGGCTGCAAAAGGTGGCGCGGCGGCCAGCAGGGTGGCGCGCGGGCTGCAAAAGGCGGCGTGCGGGCTGCAAAGGGCGGCGCGACGGGCTGCTAAGGGCGGCGCACGGGCTGCTAAGGGCGGCGTGGCGGCCAGCAGGGCGGCGCGACATGTAGTGCAGGGCAGCAGGGCAGCGCAACTAGTGGGGCAGCGCTCTGTGGTGGGTCCTAAAAAGAATACCGAAACCATGTCAGAATACTGAACGAGAATGAATGCATTGAACAGAAAGTTGGGTACAAGTATTAACCCTACTTGGGTTGTACCCCTTATGGGCTACCCCACTACAGCCTACACAATGTAAGCCCTATAACATTTTGACACCTCCTTCCCTATGCGAGATCACCTCAGATGCCCTCACCCACAGAGCCCATATCAGAAGGCAGCAGCAGCATCTGCCCTTTGCTTGATGAGGTCAGTTCGTTGGCTCTTCCTTATTGCCTCCACCAGCCACGTCACTCCCTCCCTCACCCCCGTGCTGCACACACATTGCCATGCACACATTGCCATACACACATGCACGCACATTGCAATGCACACATGGTTGTGAACGCAGTCAGACACAAACCCCCTCTCCCTCACACACATAGACATAGATTCAGACTCACACAAACACGGTGACACACACACAAATGCACATACGTTATGCTTCCAGCTTAGTCACGGAGTGGTGTGGTGACAGGGCAGTTAGGCCACACCCCCAACAATCCCAAGATTCAACCAGCTTGTTAACGCACCCGCACAAGATGTCGTGTCACAGAGAATTCACAGCGCAAAAAAAAGGCCTCTCTTGGTCTTTAGGCTCCCCACCTCCCTTACAATCCCCAGGTTCCATCACTTACCTGACCTCCAGTTGCATTGCCCAAACACACCCGCAGCTGTCCCCATACCCTCAACTCTTCCCCCACCCACATCACCCCTCTCAACCATCATACGCTCATCTCGCATCACACCCCAGGCCTAGCGCACCCTCAGCAATGCCAGCCCACCACAATCTCCCCCCCATGCCCCGCTCACCTTGACCCCTCCCATCCCTTTCCCCCCTCCCCTACCCTCCCCACTCTCCCCTCCCCCTCCCCCTCCCCTTCCTCCTCCCCCTCCCCCTCCCCCTCCCCCTCTCATCCCTCTCTCACCCATCATAGGCGCACACAGGCATGACCATTGCAGAGCGCCCCTTGAGGTCCCTCAGCTCCAGGCAGTGCGTCAAGTCCTCCTCACCCACTGCCTCTCTGGTAGGTCCTGTGTGGGTGCGCATAGGGGGAGGTGGGAGAGGAAGGCGGGAGAGGGAGGTGGGAGAGGGAGGTGGGAGAGGAAGGTTACAGAAGGAGAGGGAGGTGAGAGAGGAAGGGGGGAGAGGGAGGCAGAAGGGAGGTGGGCAAGAGAGGCAGGAGAGGGATGTGTGAGGGGGTTGTGGCAGGGAGGCGAGGCATGGAGGTGTTAAGGATGAGTGGCAGGCGGTGATTGTTGGTGCAACCCTACGGTTTGCATTCGGCTTGTTTTCTGAGTGCGTGCATGCGTGTGTGCATGGAATGGTATGAGGGCATGAAATAATATATATTTCATGCTTACCATAGTGTGTGAATGATGAGGCATGACTTTGAATGTGTGTGTCGAGTCAATAGCGAGTTATCGCTAGTCGCGTGTCACGTCGTCGTTTGCGTGTCGTGTGCGGTTTTCTATTTTGAGGTGTGTGGAACGTTCGGCGTGTCGCAGGTGTGTGCAGCAGACTTCCAAGAACTCAAGGAAGATTTTATCTTGAAGAACCATAGCTTTGGTTTCAAGAATCAAGTGATTTCGAAGCTCTCCAAAAGGGTAAACTTTAAGATAGTGAGAATAGTTGCATTACTTTTTGTAGTGTAACATTTCTCTTGGTGTAGGCCCTTGTGGAGGGTAGTTTCGAGACCCTTCGTGGTTGGGGACAGTGTGGCACTGTTCCACATCACTGTACCTCGGCTCTTGGGGTTTGTAGGAGCTGGGAGTCATTCCCAACTCGTAACTCTTCCTAATTTGTGTTCTAAGACTATAGTGGCTGCCATAGTACCGTTTGTTCAAACCGATGCTGTGTCGTCAATCCTTTATCAAATCGTAAAATCTAAATTGCTTATTGTAGGCGACGTTAAGACACTCCAGATCCAAGTTGAATCAGGTCATTTGAAGCTGTGACCAAAACGCTATCAACGTTTGAAGCCGCTGTGCAGAAATCCGTCTGTGCACTCTATCTTTCGTTTTAGGCACATTCAAGCCTATTGTGACTATAACAAGTGGTATCAGAGCCCCTTGGAGCAGTTTCGACAATGGCTGGACCTGAGGAAAGGGGTGGAAGAGGTGCTGGTGGCAGTGGAGAAGCCCAATCTCAAGGCCAACACCGTGATTCAGCCATGGCACCCGTGCAACCAAGTCTTGGCCCACCTAGGGATGAGCCTAGGGTGTTTGGGCTTGACAAGTTCAATGGCGACAACTTCGTTGAATGGTCCTTCAGAATGGAGAATGTATTTGACCACTATGACCTGCTGGAGGTGATGGAAGGAACGGAGAAGCGCCCCGAGAACGACCCGGAGAAGAGCCCGTGGGTGCGGAAGAGCGCACAAGGCTATCTCCTACTTGGGCAAGCGTTGGGGAGCAGCCAGATCCGTCACATCAAGCCATTCCAGCGTGAACCAGAGAAGGGACCAAAGGCATGGGCTGCTCTCAAGGGTGTACACGCTCCTGCAACAGCGGCGGTAGCGGTGGTGTTGGAACGGCAAATGGCGGCACTACGAATTGAAGAAGACGAAGCGGTTGAAGAAGGGGTGCAGAAATTCTTCGACTTGTTGACGCGTCTTGAGGGAGCTGATTTGAACTACAGTGAGCTCCAAAAGAAGATCAAGTTGCTGGCCTTACTCCCAGAGTCATGGTCCTCGCTCATCATCAACCTCAATCGTGACTTGCCCCGCCTCTCGCTTGAAGACGTGAAGCGAGCGATCCTTCAAGAGGACTTCCGCCGCCGTGAGTTGGCGAGTGCGGATGGTGCCGGGGCAGCAAGCATCGGCCGAGGGTATGGCCGTGGAAGGGGCAGAGGACGAGGGGGAGGCAGATTTGGCAGCAACAACTTCAATGGAGGCAGCGGGAGTGGCGGATACGGCAGCGACAACAAGAGCTACGGACGCGGTCGCGGACGGTTCGATGGCGAGTGTCACTATTGTCACAAAAGCGGACATATGTGACGCGATTGCTTCAAGCTCCCTGATGGATGGACCCCTGCTCAAGGCCAAGAGGGTAGAGGAGCAGGAGGAGGGAGAAAAAGAGGCCGTGGAGGCCGTGGCGGTCGCGGAGGTGGTGCTGCAAATATGAGGAACGGTGACAACGAGAGCGAGTCGAGGGACGATCGCTTTCCGGGTCAATTCTTCTTCGTGTCCACGCAAGCACCGGCTGGTCCAGAGAAGGATGAAAGCTTTGAGGAGCCAGCAGCTGTGGGGAAGGTCAGCCTACACTCCCTGGACTATTGGGTGATCGATAGTGGCGCTACCTATAGCATGACACCTCGTGCGGACTTGCTCACCGAACTTGAGCCGTCACCGGTGAAGCATGTGACATCGGCTTTGGGGAAGCGAGCAGAGGTGAAAGGCATGGGCAAGGCCATGTTCAAGGGTGCTGATGGGAAGATGGTGGGCCTCAAGAACGTGCTTTGGGTGCCCAACCTTGCTGCCAACCTGATTTCCGTGCGGCGGTTGCAAAAGGCCGGCATGGACACGAGCTCGAAGGGAGCTAAGACCTATACCGCGAGGCTTGGCAAGCGGATTCTTTGGGACCTTCACGAGGATAGGGATGTCTACAACGAGATGTGGCAAATCCCTGTGGTCCCCATGCCTAAGGAGAGGCAAGTGGCAGCAAGCATCAGCACCAAGGGTGAAGCGGTTGGTAGCGGCGATGGCGCGAACGGTCGCGCCAAGGAGATTAAGTCCAAGAAGTGCAATCTTGGAGGGGCCAGCAAGCTTGGTGAACACGAGGAGAGTGGTGCAGCAGCTCAGAAGCAGCAGAAGGGTGAGGAGAACCCCAAGGCAGCAGCGGAGGAGGAGTATGGAGAGAACATGTGGGCACTATTGCGAGTGCGGCATTCTCCAATCCGACTTCGGCTACGGGGGAGTGTGATTGGCTCACCTTGCATCGGCGAATGGGGCATGTGGCCCTGCCCATCTTGCAGCAGCTAGTGAAGAATGAGATGGTTGCTGGCATACGTGTGAAGGGGGAGCCCGATGAGGTACTTGGCTGCCCGACGTGCATGCAAGCCAAGTTCACTCGTTACCCGTTCTCTAGTTCGGAGGCAACCGCTAAGGCACCACTTGATGAGGTGGTGATGGACGTGGTGGGCCCCCTGAAGCTTGGAGCTGCTGGAGCTGAGTAATTTCTCACCATTGGGGACGTCTACACTCGCATGACTTGGGTGTACGTGCTGTCCAAGAAGAGTGACGTGGCTGAAACGGTGAAGACCGATTGGTTGCCGATGGTGGAGCGGCAACAAGACCGGTTAGTGAAGGCAATTTGCACCGATCGAGGGGGAGAGTTCCTGAGCAAGGAGTTCTCATTGTGGCTGAAGAAGAATGGCATAAGGCACTCCCTTACCATGCCATAATCCCCTACAATGAACGGCATCGCCGAGCGAGCAAACCGGACAATCACGGAGACGGCGCGCTGGTTGCTCATTGAAGCCGGGCTACCCGACTATTTCTGGCCTGATGCGGTGCGGAGTGCGTGTGTGGCCAAGAACAGAGCTTTGACTCATGTGGGAGCAGACAAATGGGTGCTCTATGTGAAGTGGATTGGAAGGAAGCCAAAGGTGGATATGCTTCTGGTGTTCGGGTGCATGTGCATGGCGCTCGTGCCTAAGCATCTTTGGCAGGGACTGCAAATTCATGGAGAATCTGATGTACAAGGATTGGAAGGCGGAGAATGAGGCGAAGATAGGCATGCGGTTTGGGGAGGTGAAGAGTTCCGGTTTGGAGCATGTGGAGCTGCCTTTGGAGTTGAGCAGCGACAGCACCACCACAAGGCAATCTTCCCTCGTGAATGGGGGAGAGGAGGCCCAGGATGGAGGGGAAGAAGAGGAGGAGGTGCAGCAAGTGAGCGAGCGTGCACCGACACTTCCTTCTCGCACTACGAGTGCTCCACGGATCCGGGTCACCGCGCAGCAATGCCATGAGTGCCTTCATGTCCTTGCAACTGAGGAGGAAGGAAGGGGCAAAAAGAGAATCCAAGCCCCAAATAGGCTGACCTATGAGGCACTGGGAAGGCCAACCAAGTCAGCCTTGGCCGGAGCGGCACTTATAGTTGGAGATGACGAGGAGAGTGACTACGAGGAGTGTGCCTTCGCGTTCTTCTCTCCGGTGGAGATGCCGGGGGAACCAGAAACTCTCAAGGAGGCTTTGAAGAGTAGTGATGCCAAGGAGTGGAAGAAGGCAATGGATTGTGAGTTGAAGAGCATTGAGGAGAACGGCACGTGAGAATTGGTGGAGCTACCGGAGGGGCGTAAGGCGATTACGTCCAAGTGGCTCTTCAAGATAAAGTCCGATGCCGATGGCCATATCAAGCGCTACAAGTCTAGGCTTGTGGCCAAGGGGTACCAGCAGAAGGAGAAGGTGGACTATAAGGAGTTGTTTGCTCCTGTGGTGAAGCCGACGATGCTGAGAACCCTACTCGCGGGTGCTGCCATGAAAGGATGGGTGGTGAAACAAATGGACGTGACAACCGCATTCCTCAACGGCGTCCTAGAGGAAGAGATTTTCATGGCGCAGCCAGAGGGGTTTGATGATAGTAGTGGCAGAGTTTTGAAGCTGAAGAAGGCCCTTTATGGACTGAAGCAGGCCCCTAGGCAGTGGTACTTGAAGCTGCGAGGAGTTTTGGAGGAGATCGGCTTCACTCCCTCAACAGCCGATCACTCATTGTTCACGCTTGGCGAGGGAGAGCAGAGGAGCTTCATGGTGGTGTACGTGGATGACATCCTCATCTTCTCAACCTCCTCTTACCTTGTGAAGGAGGTGATGCTGAAGCTTCAAGACAAGTTCAAGTGCAAGGCCCTTGGTGACGTGAGCTTCTACCTCGGGCTTCACATTGAACGCGATGTGGAGAAGCGGTGCATGCGGGTGCATCAACGGAAGTACCTGGAGGCATTGGCTGCCAACTTTGGGCAGAGTGAAGGCCATGTGGCTACACCCTTTCCCTCTGGGTTCAAGTGTGTGAAGGGACCAGAGGAGGAGAGCGTTGGTGAAGAGGAGAGGCGCCGTTTTCACTCGTTGGTGGGCAGCCTCATGTACGCGGCGGTAAACACCCGACCGGACGTCGCGTTTGCTACCGGACAGTTGGCTAGGGTTGTTCAATGCCCTAACGAGGAGCAGGTAGCAGCTGGAATGAGTGTGGCCAAGTATCTTGG